GTAGTGATGGAAGTAGCCACTCTAAGAAAGCTAGGAAATTAGATTGAAAGACAGATTAGCATCATAGAATCATTATCCCTGTGTTCAAAACAGAGCACACAATCAAGGAGAGGAAAAATATAGATTAGTCATATTTATTCCCATGATTCCTTCAATTTAAGGACCAGCCCATTCTTCAGAATAACTTACTTTTTATTCAAAACTTTCTATATGAAAAAGACTGAAGAAAACATACATACATAACAATCAGCAATCATGCTCTTAGCCAACAATGCTATAACATTTGACTCCTTACAATTAGAAATCAGTCAATGTTACACGTGAATCATCACAATGATATGCCATGTTATGACTAGTACTAGGATCGTGTGTCTGAATTCTTAAGTTCTGTCTTTTTTTTAATGAGGCAAAGGACAGTGTAGGGACTTTATAAATTAGTCACCGACTCAAAAAAGAAACAAATTATATTTTTAAGTAAAATAGATATATGAAAGATACAAACGAATTCAAAGTTGGATATGAGCACCAGCATAGAAGGCAAAGTGATGTGCAGAAATACCCTGGGCTTTGGAGCTATGTAGACCTGGGATCAGTTTCCATCCCTACTTCTCGCTGTCTAGGGACTCTTAGACAAATTACAAAAATCTTTCGATCTTCTATTTCCTTACCTACAAAAAGGGATAATGATACATATCTCATGTGATTCTCGTGTTAAATGATATGATATCAGTAAAAACACCAAGCACTGTTTATGCAATAAATGGATGCTCAATTATTAATAGTTTGCTTGGAATAATCAGCTTGTAAATTCTAGTACGAATAGAGGAATCAAATATTTCTGTATCGTTAATAAAGAGCAAGCGTGCCCTACTGATACATCCACCGTATTAGTGGGGATAGGCTCCAAGGAATTGTTACTGTACACCAAAGTCAAATTTAAGTAAGGTTTAGGTCATTTGGGATACAACCTCTTAATTATTTCACTTGGTTTGGAAAATTACATTGACAATCCACTGGGACAGAAAAATTACATG